CATACTAGAAAGATTTAGCTTGTTGCTATTTCAAATAATTTCTTCCACTAAAATAAATTTAAAAAAATAAATAAATGAATAAAAAGAAATACAAGAACGATGAATAGAAAATAAAGATGAAGCAACATGTACATCCATCTCTCCAGCTTTTCAAAATAATTTAGAATTAGGCGCTGGGGTTATTAGAATTACTAATTTTTTTTAAATTTGATTTTCCACTGAAATATACAAAATATTATAATTTAAGATAAGATTCTGATTTTTGAGACTAGAAAAAATGCAATTTAATGTTACAGTGGGTTAAATTCCGGAATTTCTATGATACATGTCAAACATTGAATCCTTTACCAAGTGAAATAAAAATCCACATTTACATAACTCACTTGCAAAAGTAATTAACTTTTCTCTATTTTGATTTTAAAATCAAACATACTATATACAATGTAAATTAAACTAGCGATATATTTGCACAATTATCACTTTCTAAAAAATAAAATTGATATTCAGTGAAAAGCTTAAGTTCTCTCTACTCTAAAAGTTTTTTGATATTCATCTATGCTTTCGGTAAGGAACGTCGTGATTCTGTAAGCACCTTTTACACAGGGAATAATACAAAGAGACCACCAGTCTTCGGGAGGCTATAAAAACGTCACTACCTACAGACCATTGGAATTTTAAATAAGAATAATTTTTAAAAATCTGACTTTTCATGATACATTGACTGAAAAAAAAAATATAAAAGATGGAAAGATCCTCAAAATTTTAGTGATGTGTTCTTGTCCCAGAGGATATATTCCTTACATTTCATTATGGGGACACAGGGTTTTGATATACAGTATCAACCAGACACAATCTAAAAGAAAGCGTGTTCGCTTTCCGGGTGTCCTCGGGGTTCGATAGAGCTACATGTTAAATAGAGCGAACCCAGAGCGTACACAGATCGGACTCAAAGTGAACACTAATTTCAGAAGCAGACTCAGAAAGCGAACCAGATGATCGCTATTACCAAAAGGGATGTCAATCAGGATTTTCGCCAAAAGCAATGACCAATCAGCGAATCGACCAATCAACATGCTATTTGGTACATGAAACTCGGTGTAAAAAAAATATAATAAAAGCAATGTTTTTCCTTTTTTTAAATCTATATTACATTTATAAATTATATTCCAGGTACTTAATTTTAATCGATTTAATGATATACAGCTATAATCATACATAGAGTGAATATTTAAGAAAAGATATTTGAAAAGAAAAGATAGTGAAAATTATAACTAAAATGATAATCACCATAAAACTGCTATTTTTCCAGTTTCATTTCACATTTTTTGTATTCATAGAATAATTTAATTTTTTCTTCCATACATGCATTTTTCGCTAACACCTTACGGATACACAGCGAGACACATATGCGATATAGCTTCATTTCATTTTCATTGGGAAGATACTCACATGTAAAACCTCCTCTTTTTTATTTAAAAAGCATTTATTCAAGTGTTACGGTAATGTATTGTATTTTCACAATTCTAAATGGAGTCAATTCACTATTTCAGATCGCTAGGAATATTTCGTGGTTAGTAAACAATGGGTACCACTTGCGCCCCGTTACTAGCAGACCTATTTTGATATCATATAAAGCAGAATTTATTCAAAAACGTATACATAAGCAGAAAAAGATACTTGTTGTGGCCCTCAACCCAACAATTAGATTGATCAACGACGCATTATCAATTAAATAGTTACTTCAATTAATATGTTGACTCGATATATCCCAGAAAACTTGATATAAAAAATACCACAGAGACTGACACATCTGTGTAATATTTTGATATTTTACTAGAAAAAGGCGTTAATGGTAACCTAACGACAAAACTTTATGATAAATCTGATGACATCATCAACTTCACTTATTTATGTAGCATATGTCACCTGCATATGGTGTTTATATCCCCCAGCTGATTCGGTACGCATGGGTATGCTCAACGAACGAACAAATTCTTAAACGAGGCAAGTTATTGACAAACGGGTTGATGAAACAATGCTATCAAGAGTCTCGTTTAAAGTCATAATTTTGAAAGTTCTATGGTGGATACAATGACCTTGCTAGCAAAAACAATCTATCATTAAGTCAAATGCTGACTAACGTTTTTCATACTTATTGCTAGGTAATTTTCTAAACACTGAATTGTCTACGGATTTTTCTTTTTGTCAATCATGACAATGAGCACACGGCGGGTGTGACCGGTCGACAGGGAATGCTTATTCCTCCATGGCACCTGATCCCACATCTGCAACCTTTTTAGAGGTCTGTGTTTGCTCTGCTCCAATTTTGTATTGTTTCAATGAACTTTTGAGATTGATTACTGTTCGTTATCTTCATATTTCATGTTATTTGTTCTATGATATACAATCAAATCATTTTAACAAAATAATTATCCAACCACATTATAATTACAATACTCAATCGTTTTGTGAGTGTTGATGATTATTTTTGCTTGTAAGTATCAAAATTGATAATGCAATCGATATTGTAGTTTACATTTTCATTGATTACCAGGTCTATTATTCATGAACATTACAAAGAAATAAAGACATAAACAGAAGTAATATATTTGTGTATGTAAATAACATTTCAAATTGGTATGTGTTTGCAGTAATATGTAATCCTCTCATTTATTGTGTCGTCAAAGTAAAAAGTAACCTAGTTAGTTCCAAATAAATTTCAACCACAGGAGTTGGTATACCTATCAATTTCATCGATATTTTCAGTAAATAAAATAATAGATACGAAGTACCTATAAATATAGTATGTGTAATTGTATTTATACTGAAATATCGTTTAAATTGAAAAGTTCACAAACTCGTGTGTTTCAACTAGCTATAGAGGTGTGATAAATCATAAGGATGTGAAAAAAGCAGGTAAATGAAGAATGAACAATGAATAGTACGTAGTTTCATTATTATTGTGTATGAACCTATTTTACGGTACAACAAAAATCTCCCTGATTGTCATGGTTAACAGAAGAAAGTCGTTGATAGGACATATGATTCTACATGATTATGCACAATACATTATAACAAAAAAAAAAATGTCCGAGTTCTATTAAACAGTAAATGACCTTACTATTGGACAATGGCGATTAACTCACTGAACTTCCCTTGCCCCGCCGATTTCATATTGAAGGCAAGTGTTTGGTACTAAAATGTCATTGTATCAAAACATTAAACTTGTGTTTATTTGAGGGAAGCATAGAATTTAATTGATTGGTATCAAATGTTGGTGTCCATTCAAATACCACTGATTATCATAGTATTAAAAGAGCTTTTAAAAGATATAATACTGTGAAACCTGTCTAATCTGAAATGCACTTGCATACGAAATTTGTGTCGGAATAGAAGGATGTCAGATAACATAGTGTAAAGAACATAGAAAACAGTAAATGGGAATTGAAATAAGGGTCGGAATTCAAAGTGAAAGGGATTGCACGGATGTCGGATTAGACAGTTTTCACTGTATTTATACATGTATATAATTATATTTTTTACCCAGAAATTACAAAATAAGATAGCAGAAGGGCAGCAAGACAAAGTAGGTTTTTGTTTTTGTTTTTGTTTTTTTTTTGTTTTTTGTTTTTTTTTTTAAGAAAATTTATTTTTCTGAATGAATATTTGAACACTCATGATCTATCTCTTCTATTTTTTATTTTTATTTTTATTTTTTTATTTATTTTTTTTTTTTTTTTTTGTTTTTTTTTGTTTGTTTGTTTGTTTTTTTTTTTTTTTGAATTATTACAATATTTCATAGTTAAGTAACATTTAATGTTTCAAATAAAACAAATGCACACACAAATATACACTTGGAATATATAGTTTCAAAAACTCATGTACCAAGAAATATATAATGAAATATATACATTGTACATACATAGCGGAAAAAATTGTAAGTTCAGAGAGAGAGAGAGAGAGAGAGAGAGAGAGAGAGAGAGAGAGAGAGGTAACAATACTTCAATAGAATAAAAGGACAATAGATAATGACATTTCAATTCTTTTTTTTTCCTTTCACATTTTTTCTTTATATTTCTTTATATTATTCATTCTTATATTACTTATAAAAATGATTTTAAAAAATATTTATACGAGATACAAAATTTGCATAAATTTGAATATAGAATGTTGTAACAGAATGGAATTGTTTCTTATTTTTTTATATTCATCCTTCGCAACATATGCAAAACTGCCATCTACAAGTCCTCTTTTAGCCTATAATCATAATCATTTTTTCCTCATATCTTAATAAATATAGCTTAGCTAATATGTATGGAACACAACAGCTTTCACAATCAATGCAATATATATTGACAATCATTTGGGCTGTACATCGTTCAACACATAAATGAAATGATATTATAACTATAAATTGATGATTAACAAACTGTCACATAGTATTATAATTTAGGGTATGATTATGTTTCTAAATAATAATTTTAAGATTGTAAAGTACGTACAAAGTACTATTGACATTTATAAAATAGATTTAAGGCCTATTTTGATTCTGGCGATGTATAAGGCTTGGAATTTATTTTTTTTCTATTTTTATTATCTCTACATATTTTAAGGCCTTCATTACATTTTGACATTGATTAGGTAAAAACTAAAATAACAAACGTGGAGAAAATTAAAAATCATGTGTTTTAAAGAATTGGGACAAGATAATGAATTCACAATTTTTGGTTTACAGGTGAAAAATTTTAATGTATACATGCAATTATATTAGATATTTCTACTGGAGTACCATACCAACTCTGATGAGTGTGCTAACGATTGTGTGTGAATTACATCTCTTGTGTCTTTACTCGAATTTTACACTTCATATATCTATTACGATTTAACATTTCTTCTTTCAAACACTAGTAAGTACCAGCTTGTGTCGTCCAATACAAGTCATCTACATATACCCGCGACCGGGTAACTAGTACAAAAAAATTATTTTCATTTGAAATTTCTCAATGACATGTAGTCGGTAAATTCGTCGATGTCCAGGCAACGTTTCTTGCTTTTACTGTAAATACTTTAAAGTTTGTTGATGTTCGCTGTTGTGTCAAAACGGATACATCGTGTACTTTATGCGACCTCCGACAACTCAGTGCTTCTTTATATGCACTTAACACTCTTTTATTCATAAAACCGTAAATAAATGTGTTTACGCAACTGTTTGCAAATGCCAGGTATATAGAAATCGCATGAAGCTCAGGAGAAATTTGAGAATGTTTTTTGAAGAACATAGCTAGAATCCCAAATAGACTATATAACAGGAGGTATAGTACGAAAACGACAAATGTCGATTTTGTCGACCTTACGTCATTTTTAAATCTTTGTTGTCCTATTCCATTGTTCCAGGATAAAAGTTTCTGTTTATGTCTTCGTACATAGGCAAAAATCTTAAAGTAACATATCATTGTTATGCCGACTGGAGCAAAAAGACATACAAGCATGTAACAGATAGAATAGCTTTGATTGACATACCGGTTGAAGATACACATTTGTAAAGTTGGATCAAATATCAATGAGTGTTCCATACATAACAGAGGTAATGCAAATAAAATTCCTATGATCCAAACGGAGGCAATCATCACGGAAACTGAAGATCTTGTGTATATTTGCGCACATAAGTTGAAGTGGCAAATTTTGACATACCGATGGACAGCTATCGTCGACACTGATATCACCGATGTGCTGAATACTACATGAGCAAACGTGCCATTTAAATGACATAACCAGTCTGGAATTCTTATGTCCTTATTCAGGAGAAATACTAGGTTGAAAGGTAAAAGATATGTAGTGATGAGAAAATCAGCCATAGCCAGATTTCCAACAAATGCATTATGAATTTGTCGGAGACGCTTGATCCTCAAAAAAGTCCAAAGAAACAATGTATTCGAAGGTATTCCACAAACCAAAAGTATTAAAACAAATGTAATAAAGACAAGGGCTGCTGTAGAAGATATTTCTCCTCCAAATTCAGCCTCCATTGTAACTAGTCAGGTCCTTGTCAAAGAGATTCTGAAGCGCTGTCATTGCACGTTAAACCTTTATATATGAGATCAATGAGTATACGAAATATGAATTAATGCGAATAGCAACCTGTGCATTATTATAGATATCCCTCTGTTGGTGAATTTATTTTTGTGTAGTGAGAGTATGGAATTGATGTTAATTGTGTAGCTTGATTTTACTGCTTTGTTATGATAAGAAATTAACATACGGAGAAGGGTGCAGTAAATATGTTATACATCAATTGTAAACTTTAAACTCACCATTCTTGATATATATATATATATATATATATATATATATATATATATATATATATATATATATATATATATATATATATATATATATATATATATATATATATATATATATATATATATATATATATATATATATATATATATATATATATATATATATATATATATATATATATATATGAAGTTATACATGTTGTTAATGTAGAATGTTTAATTATTAAGGATTTCATATCTTTAAGATAAAGGGGTAATGATGTAAGTTTTAAACAGAAAAACAGTGTAACATGATGTAGCAATTTTGCAGCAATACATACAAATATCACTTATATATTTAAATCAATATTGTTAATGTCTAATGTAATGACATTTCTGCAAAATCATGAGAGAGAGAGAGAATAAACTGAGGGGAGCTGTATAACATATTTATTCAATTTTAGTTTTATGCCACAGCTTTGTTCGATCAGAAAATTAACACAAAAAATATACATTAAAACACATAAAATACATTTTTAAATATATAAATATCACATTAAAATGTAACAGGAATTTCTTAACATTAAGCCTAAAAGGAGAAAAAAAAAGGAAAGAAAAAAGCTATGATCTACTATAATAAATCAAAGTGTCAAAGTCCATTTTTTTTTTTTTTTTTTACAATAAAATGAAACTGTTTCTACATTATATTCATCAAATAATGTGATAGTTATTATTCGAAATAAGATAAAATTGTACTATAATTGTCTAAATACAGGGAATAAGTTTGGTTAACTCAAGTGAAAAGTGAAGATAACGAAAAGTGTTCAACCTAAAAATCTGAAAAAATACAATTCTGTGAAAATGCATAAAACTCAGACAACCTAGAAATTACAGAGGTGAGATCAGGTGCCTGGGAGGAGTAAATATTCCCTGTAGACCGGTCACAACCTCTGTGAGCCCTATGTATTGAACAAATAGAATAATCCATAGTCAAACCTAGTATCAAAAACAAGGACCTCAATTGGTATGAAATATATCTGTCAAAATACGACCCAATGTTAGAGTTGTATTTGCAATCAAGGACATATTATTTACTAATATGTCAGAATATCTTGCGCAACATTTTACGCGGCAAGGATAAGGCTGTCCGTAAAATATCAAACTGTTCCAACTGTAGTTACTAGTCTGAACTACCTAGATATGACGTCATAATAGCATATGACGTCAAGTCACTGCATACTTGAGCTGACATGACGGAGAAAGTGTCACAACTTTTACATTCCTTTCACATGACATGTAAAGATTTTATTAGCATCATTGTTTGATTCAAATGTCTGGATTCTTCTTTAAGCTTAGTGTGCTGTTATGATGTTGAACATTTGCAATTTAATATCTTTATTTCTTTCACTTGTCCTATATACATATATTCAAACAATAACAAAAAATTGACTGTGAAACGCTCCCCTTACACGTCCGTGGACAGAGTTAGAATTTATAAATCGTATATATACTTGACTGGCACAAGTGATTAATAAGGATAAATTGAAGATATTCGCTGTGAATCTATTAGAGAAGTATGTCCTCTAATTGAATTTTGCTAGGGGATTGTATGTAATTTATCCTATTTTGTATAAATTGCGATAAAGAGTGGAAAATGTCCCCCTTGTATGTGGGTAAGTTGAATTTCTCGTGGAATATTTTCTCAAGAAGTAAAATTCAGACTTGCCCAGCACTTTATATGTACCAAAGATCACGATGAAATGACTTATGTGACAAATTTTTCTCAATAATGTTGTTTTGCACTTGTGCCAATGCGATTTTTGTGTAACATTTAGGAATTTATAAGTGTCCGTCACGTGATCAACAAAGTCATGTGACATCACAAATATGTATTATTATAATACCTTATTACACTCTCATCACAAGTTGATTGCAAATTCATACATACATGTAGATTACAAATTGAAATAAAAATCTAGCTCAAAATAAAATGCATATTTTAATGCATATTAAGCCTTCGGACAGCCTTAACATAGCTGCGTAAAAGTCTATTTTAGAATTGCTTGGGGGAAGAAATGTTGCTTTTATTTCTTCGGTTATTGACTATCAAACGATGTAATGGATGCAATGCGTTTTCTATATTATATCATTAATTATATGTTAATAGGGCCTTGATGATATTTTATTGGGAAATCTCATTTCATTTTTGACGTATCTTTTTACATAGCTGTTGGACTTGAGAACCATCATTTATTTGCAACCTTACATATCAACATGAACTATATATTTCTAAAGGAAAAAAAAACTGTACCATAAAATCAAACAAATTAATTCACAGAGGTACTGATTATGAGTATTCTCTGCCTAGGACTTAAGAAAAATTCTTTTTCTGACTACTCTAGTAAATTTTAGAACCAATAATTATGACTTAAAAAAAAAAAAAAATTAAAGATTCCAATCATCACATATTCCTCTTTTGTGTGAGATTCTATTAGATGCTGATAAAAATGTAAAAAAAAAAAAAATGTTAGGAATATCATTAAATTATGACTAAAAATATTTTATATACACAAATTAACCACTGAAGACAGGGAAGGGTCCAGCTGAAATAGCACAGTTTTTCAACGATTGCAATTGGTTAATTTCAAAGTCTACACTAATACACCAGCGTGTGTAACCGTCCATTTCTAAGGCCCGATGGTTTAATTAATATGTAAAATTAAGTATTTGGTATTTAGTAAATATTTTGGCAATAGATGCACATTATTTTTTATCGCAGTCCAACACCTTTCCTTTTCTATCAACGTTTATCATCCGTCACTTTCTCCAGTATCCCTACCAGAATACGGTGGTATCAGAGAAAAGAGCAGAGTGTAATGTAGAATCCAACATGTTGTTCACACATTTGGGTAAAAGTCCTGTACCACTGTTAAAAAAAAACCTTTATATTTGTTTGATTTTAGTTCCTTAAGGCAATCCCAGGAGCACATCTTGCTGTTTAGGTAGTCAGGCCCCGGGATCATGAAAGTCAAACAACGTTTATTTCGCTGAAATGATATAGAAATCAAGCAGACCAACATTAAAATACTTTTAAACTTTGCATCAATTGACCACTGTTATAAGCAAAAAAAGAGTTTCAGCTCAAAGTAATAAAGAGTTTATAGATTATTAAAATTGTGTCTGAAGTCTAAGTCTGTTTTATGATCCCTGGGCCATGATTATGTTCGATACTCCGTATACTTGTGAATCATGACGTCATTGCTTGTTAATATCGAAAATATCCTCAGAATTATAATATTTTTAATAAAAGGTGAACCATCTTCAACTAAGTCAATATACTCTTTCTTTGATTATTCTGTTTTGTTCATTTACATATGGTTTTGTATAACATACTATCAGAAGGATGAAGACTGGGAAGAAAATAATCAGAATTTCTATATGCCCATAAGGGGTATTATTTATAAGTATCTCTAATTTATATACTGAGATCACTCTTCGTTATCTTCACTTATTTCATAGTCGTAAAATGTATTATTGACAAACTTCTTAATATCATTTAATAAAAACAAGAGGCACATCATTAAGCAGATGAGAAAGCATTATTTTACTTTCTCCACTAGCGTCATGTATGTACGTCAGTCGAATAACTTAGCCAGGTGGCCTTTAGTTGTTGCGAGAGGGCTGATCTATGGAGGAAATTAGGGTTTGTACAATACCTCCAGACAATATTCATGAGTTTAACATTATAGATGAAACATAAAGCATACGCTAATGACATAAATAGCTGGTGATATTCCCAGGGAATCTGCATATAAAATTCCAACATGTAGATGTAATATTTAGGGAATAAATTTGGGTGATCCAATCTTTGTGGGTTGTTTTAGTAAGGGGCAAACATGTAACTGTATCGCCCTAAACTTCTAGAATGCTGGACTAGAGTGGATCATGGCTTTAAAGTGCGTAATGATCTTAACTCTAGATCCTCTCTCAAAATGATCAAGGTTTTAGGCAATGTGATAGCGATCTAGAGCCCCTGCTCTAACTAGCTTTCGACGATGATACAGGGAATGGGTTCGAAAGTGCATAATTGTTTATAAAGATCCAGAGATGTGTCATAATCTATAGTTATATTTATTAAATAATCAATGTAAGTTATATTTTATTTAACTATCAAGACAACTGGAGAGAAGGGAGGGGGGGGGGAGAAAGAAATGGTAAAATGATGCCCGGGGCATAAGTCTAGAATCTTTGAATGGAATATTTTGAAAGTTGCTATTGCTGATGAGCCATGAGTATGCATGGATCTAACCCAAGAACATATCTCAAAGTGCTCGCTCCGTGATCGGAAGTCATGGGTTGAAACCCCAGCCGCGACTGACCTAAGTCGATAAAAAAGTAGCAACGGTTCCTTCGATCGCCAAGCGCTCGTTACTTCTAAGTGAAAGTTGCGGGTATTTCGACTAAGACCTTAAAAACCGAGACCACGTGTCACGGAAGTCGTTGGCACCATACCATAAAGATCATTGCTCAATGGCCATGAGTGCAGAGTAACGGTCTAAATTCCAAGACCTTCACTGATATATTGTGACGTCTTTATCTGAGTGAAGAATTACACAGATAATCACACTCTAATACTGAGGATATGAGAAATAAAAATTCCTTGTTTGTGTATATTCGGGGAAAGGGGTTCCGATGCATAATCATCTGTAGTATGTCTGCATGTATTTAAACGTAAACACCAT